TCATACTTATGACTGACTTTATTTTAAGAAAACCTGCTTTTGTACTGGAATGCGAGTACGTTGTAAGCATAAAGTTGGCTAGTATCGAATGTCTACGATTCCATAACATTCAGAATCATATTGGTGATATACACATCACGGTTGGCCGCACAACACTACAAACCAGTGCAATTCAGTCAGATTTTTGGGTCTGCACGTTGATGACACCTTATAATGGAAGGTTCAATGTGAAAATGTAACAACTAGATTAAATTAGCTCATTTTCATGTTCAGAAGGCTACTTACAGTATTAAATTTACCTCAGATAATATCAGTTTATTACGACCAGGTCGAATTTCGACTCCGTTATGGAATTTGCTTATGGGATAGTTCTACCCATGCTTTGAATATTTTCATTGCGCGGAAGAAGATTGTTAGAAGTATAGTTGGTATCCCTAACACTGAGTCTTGTTTAAGCAGTTTTCAAATTTTAAGAATTTTACCTCTTATGTGCCTATATATTTAACAGTTATATATATATATATATATATATATTATATTATATTATACGTGTTTGACTATAAAAACAGATTTCCATTAGTAGGTAGTACACACGATATAAATACAAGACAAAAAATTCACTGCTAGTTTCATTTGCCAGATGTAATACATCTACAAGTTCGCCCACTGTAATGGGACTGAAAATCTTCAATCGTCTGTCCGATTATATAAAACTAAAAACCAGTAAGAAATCGTTTAAGAAAGAATTGAAATGTTAGCCGCTGGAGAACAGTTTTTACAGTCTGTCAGAGTTTTTGTAGTTTTTAACAGTTAAACCTTATTAATTACCTTAACTTTTTAAGTCCATATTGTATTGTCAGTTCCTATACAGTATTGTCTGTCGATGGAAAATAAATTGAATTGAATCTATGTTCAAATATGTAGGACATTGAAAGGGTAAAAGTTTGGCTTTTTGCTCATAACCTTGAGAATACGTTTTTGTGCTACTTCCAGATTTTTAATAGAGGTGATTGCTGCCCCACTCCAACCTATGATGCCATATACGAGATGTGACTGTACAATTGCTAGATAAACACTATTTGGATGTTTCTAGGATAGGAATGTTGATAACTGTCTAAACCTGGGCAACAGCACTCTGAGCTTTTTTAGAAGATAGTCGACATGTATATCCCATTTAAGGTTGCTGTCAATATAAACACTCAAATATTTTATACTATGTGCTCTTTGAACAAAGACTCGGTTATTAGTGTTCATCGAAATGGTCGGCGAGTTATATTCAAGTGAATGACACTTATAGGTCACATAGTTCACTGTCAATAACTGATCCAACAGCAATCGACTTCAAAGGTTTTAAATATTTTCATTGCATGGTACCATTTACCCTAACTTATACGTAATTCAACGATCACGACATGTCGTACTGATTTTGCAAATACTTTCTAACATCTAGTAGCCTGGTGTCGAACTGACAAAACTTAAATCAATGTAGTAACGAGCAGATTTGTAGGTACTGGGAACTGGTCAATTCCAGTTTCAGGTATTTATACGTTTTCAAATATTTTGGAATATAGATCCTAGTTGTCAAAGTGACATAATGAAGCTAGTTGGTCACAATTACAAATGACATCACTTGGTTGTTCTCAATATTTCTGAGACGGTCATTTACAAGTGGCCATTCCAGCTCGTAGCACTTAGCAACATCCTACCGTTTCAGTTTGTTCTGATAAATGTACCTGACTGTCTCTGATATAACAGCGATTTTTCCGGTTAATAGTGAAAAAATCTATTTCATCAACACAACGTACGAGAACACGATTGAAGAGTTATAGCGTACCAAGTAGCCTAGAATATAACTAACGCAGCAACTGTAAAACAGCAATATAACTTGAAAACGGCTGACTGGAGATAAACAAACTTATAAACCTTTTAGTAGTGTTCGCATGGCGTGCATGATAATATTCGGCCATTTATTTTTAACGTCCAGCGCACCAGCGCGCAGGGTGCAGCGTTGTCCGTAAGCAAGTTTGGTCATTAAAGTTTCGTGCGAGGCGAAATATATTGTTCAAATGGCGACTGCCATCACCGTCGATGTTATGCGACCCGATGCAATGCTTCGGTCGGAGGTCCATTGAGATGTTCGCCATCATGCTACCGGAGTTATTAAAAGTTAATGTGTCCAGCACACGGCAAACAGGGAATTGGCGTCTAAAGCTGGATTGGTGATATACTCCAATCCAAAGATCATTAGTACTCTTCAGATAATCTCTTGAATACTAACTTGTTTAAATTTTATAGCACATATCAGTAAGGGTTTAAGAGTTGTTTTTCCATTCTACGAAAATTATATCTTAATAAACAATTGACTATACAACTAAAACAATTTTGTGTGAACCTTTAGCAGTATCCAAAATTAGTTGTTATGATCTCAATATCTCTAAAACGTCTCCAGAATATCCAAAATTCATGTTGTACGCTGACCAATAATTTAAAAAAAGTACGATCAGAACAGCTCTTTTTTCAGAGGCATGGAACGGTTGAGAGTAAAAGAACTGTTTGAGCTACACTTAGTTACTTACACCCATAGACCTTTGATCTCATCCATTCCCCCGTTTTTGAAAAATAAGTTCATACCTAGGTAATCTTTGTTCTAGGGATATTCAATTCACGGAAACACTCACAATGTCCGTTCACATGACATCATTCTTTCGTAAACGGTTCACCTAAAATGCAGTTACTTTTTACAGTGATATACCTCTAGCCGCAAAATTAATATCATATGACGAATGTAACAATAACAGGCATATGGAGAAATTTGTTTTGAGTAGAAATACATAGATCAGTTGGCAAGATTTATCTGTCATCTCACACAAATGTTCCAATACAACGTAATATCTTTTTGGTTGTATAAGCGTGGCAAGGCACACTTTTAAAACCTGAAATATTGATTATTCTTTTCTTACGTATATTTTAAACTCATCATATTTTTATACACTTACTTTTTAACTTACTTCTAATTTATCAAATGTTTTCATGCTTTTGTATTGTCTTTAAGTTTTTTTGGGTTAAGTGGCAGAGCAGCATTATTCTAAACTCCCCCCGCTTTAATAAAAAAGATTTATTATTATTATAGTAATATTATTATTATTATCATCATCACGAACTGAAGGAAACCGACCTAACTAAGTCACCATAAGCCTAATCCGCCATAAGCCTAACTAAATAGGGTGTTAGTGTGGTTAAATAACTACACCCTCTATTATACCGCACAACACTAAAAATGTTGCCGGTTCAAAAATACCTTTGGTGGCTTCCTGGGCTAGTTTTCCTTTCACCTCTAAAATTTCATCGAAGGCAGGGTTCTGTATTCTATATAATTTACTCCTGGCATTACTGTTCGCTATTCAAAAGTTACCCCTTTCTAGGTATTGAAATAACCTAATGTTCTGAAGTTCGACACTAATTCCAAATTTTAAGTTCCCTTTATTTCCGGGATTGTTTCACATAAATTATTTGTTTTGAATAAAAATCGCATTCGTCTGGAACTAGCCCTATTTGCCTCAAACGGAGAGAGAGGGGCAAAAAACCGACAGAAACATAAAAAAGTTGTAACTTTTAGTTCCGCCAAATTTAGAGATTAGAGATAACTTCTATATAAATTAACGCCTACCAAGCTTCGTGATCCAGAACCACTCCTAAGTGCATCTAAGGAGACGAAATAAAGGTAAAAATAGCTATATCATCTGCAGCCTTTGAGATTTTTTGGGGACTACTTTCTCGTGGAAAGGTAAATCTCATTATGTTTTATCGTTTGGAACTATCCCTAAATGTTTCAAAAGGGATGAAACGGGTGAAAATACAGTTAAGGAATGCTTCCTTCAAGGTTTGAAATAATTTTTGGGGATTACTGTCATAATAGCGAGAAAATAACGCTCACGTTTGAACATTCGGAATCACCCCCTATGTGCTTCCGCGGGTGCGAAACTTAAGGAACCTTTAAAAATCGTGAACAATGTTGTAATTTCTTAGTTCCTCCAGGCTTTTATATTACTTCTGAGGATCATTTTTTAATGATGAGAAGATAACGCTCAGAAACTTTAACCGGCGGAACTTCCCTTAAGTGCTAAAAAGGGGGGAAATGTAGAAAACACAATTAAAAATAGCAAAAAAGCAGTAGCTTCTAGTTGTTTACAGTTGTTTTTGTTTTTACCAATATTTTCACATCTTCTACCCCTTCTGAAGCACTGGCTCCAAACAACCTTCACTTCGGACTATTGTCACCAGTATAAAAGTGATTGTCTAAAAATTATCTCAATATCTAATGAAATTCTAAAGTTACACCTATTTTCACTATTTTTTCGTCTACCTATTTCCACACATTTCATCCCTTTCGAAGTACTTAGACTTGTTTTTTGGGCAGCTTGAAAGTAACTGCTTTTCTCGCATGTATTTTCACTCGGTAGGCATTAATTTCTACCATCTATAAAAGTAATCTCCAAAAACTATCTCTAAATCTGAGGGAACGCAAAGATAGGGGATTTTTTATGTTCTTAATTTTTTTTTCATCCCTTTCATATTTTTTTAATTACTTAGGCCTAGTTCCGGAACACTAAACTTTATGCCATTAGTTTCTTACCCAAGAAATTAATTTTATATTTTATTTTTGATCAAGGGGGAATTAAAATTCGGATAAAGTGTCGAACTTCAGAGTCATTAGATTTTCTGGTCATTTCAATTGATAAAACGATGTAATTTTTAAATATTCTTAAAAAAAACAATGTACTATAACGATTAATCTAAGTCTAGGAAACCTCTTCAGGTTTACTGTTGAGGTCGGAATTCAATGTTCAAAGACAGGTGAATGTTAGGGTCACTCTTTGGTTTTATGGAACGACCTCTGAAGCAGCATCGTAAAGTATTTTTCTCTCTGATGTCACGAATTTATCTGAGACATTGAGTGGTAGCGTGAAAACAGGGAGATATATTTCGAATATTGAACTTACCTGAACCTTGCTAGCAACCACAGGTGACACCTTGGTCTTCAATCCTTCCACAACATTGACCTTGGTGACCGCCTGAGCGCCTGTCTTGACCTCAACTTTTGTGATGGGAGGTGGCGCCTCGGTTTGAACGTGAACCACCGAGTGCACCTCCTGTTGGGTAGCAGCAGGTTTTGGCTTTGGTTGATTGGTTTTTGTCGGTTTGATGGCCTTGATTTCGTTCACTACAGGAGGGGGGTTGGAGTTGATTATGACTTGAGGTTTTGGGGGCTCTGAAAAAATGACCATTAGTTAGAAAGCAATATTTCCATTTTGAAAATACCTATCTTTCTGGTTTATACAAATATGGATCTATTTGTCGAAACGGTATTACGGGTGCAAACATTTCATTTATGAAAATCAAAACGTGGGTAAAACGCCTGACTTATGGAAAATGACGTCAAGTAGATTAACTTTGTACTCCAGTTGCACATAACATCTACTACTTTTCACCAATTCTTAATGTACTAAATTGAAAAAGGTTGTGATGTAGTTGCCAGCAAGGCAAAAAGTCTTTCTTAGGAAAAAAATTATCTATCCACGAAAATAGATATACCATATGTCTGTTTCAATGGCAAATGTATATGTATAGTACATACGTGTTATAACAGCTGCGAAATCAGAAGCTTCCTCATAATAGATTTTAGGAATAACAAAAATGCAAACCACTCCTCCTAACATCCCTAAGCCAAATTTCTCCACTCGGCCAAAGACACTCCAAAATGATCAGGAGCAGGCCTAACACTAATAGATTTGTTAGAAAGTTTGAACGACCTACAAATCATGTTCGCTCTTGACATAATATCTAGTAACTTTGTCTCAAAATTCAAATATTGGAATTATAGATGGGTCAACGGTTAGCAGACAAATCGTTTATTTACAAAAGACATTTTAGCAGATTGTCGGAAATGTGACGTGGTTTTCCATGATGTGCGTGCCACGCAACATCTACAAGATCTTACGCGGTTACTTATTTTCCTGCGCTTTGGCTTAGGAAGTAATGTAAATTATCAATTTACAACTCTGGGGATGTATAATATCCAAAAAATGCATTATCCGTATTTAGATATTCTTTGCATATTTCCTTGTACAATGGGTCAAAAACGTATTGGAACACCCAGTAGGGTGAATCTCGACAACGAAAAAATGAAAATTTTGATACTCGATCTATTTGAAAACTGGTATCCAAATAGTCCATTTTTGATGTCAATAAATTGAAAAATAGAAAAATACTTAATACAAGAATAATAATAGGGACAATGAAATTCAAAGGTCAAATTAATATTTACACACTAAAACAACAAAAAGGTAATAATGTATCAACAAAGTTTTTTCACTTTTAGTACTTTGTTGTCATACCATTTGCATCAGTTATGGTCTGAAGCCATCGTGGCATAAAAATTCTCAGTTATATCTGGACAAACTTGGTGCCACTAATGCATAAGACCGTCTTGTTGCGGTGGTTTGGCATGAATTTTACTGTTTTGGCGCATCAGGGCCAGCACGTAACAGAAATGTTTAATGAGATTGGTATCCGGGGATTGCGATGGATTTCAGAGTTGTACAGGTACATTGTGAAGTAAATATTCATGTTTTAGTGGCGGTCTGCTTTCCTGTTGAAAGACATATGGACACATCTTTCAGCAGGGTAATGATCCCAAGCACATCACTAAAACAAAGTAATGGTTACTTTACAATGTTCCTTCGCAGTCACCCAATCTCTTAGTAGCAACCCCATTAACACTTAGCAATATTTGCTGGAAGTGAAGTCTATAAAACGAAAGGACAGCCGCAAGATATTCTTAGACAAGAAATAGCTCAGAAATTCCATGCTACGATGGCCTCTAGCCATAATTGACGTAAATGGAATGATGGCAAGCTACTAATGCAACATCTGAAACTAATCCTGTGGTTTTCATGTCGATCATCCCACATGTTTGTCTGGTCAATGACACCACATGTACTTGGAATTTTTTTTAATGTAGTAAACATGGTTCGGTACTGAAGAAGATCACTGTTGTCCGATTTACGGTGTTGTCTGAAGTTATGTTGTCAAACTCAATTTTGTAAATTTACCCTTCTGTACACAATCATCTCATACCATTTATATAATCTTTGACGATCTAGGAGAACTTATCAACTCCATCTATATACCTAAAAGGTTAACCTATCTTTGAGTTCTTCAGGGTATGGGAGACGTTTCGGTGACATATGGAATCGCGAAATTAAACATTATGTATTATATCCTATAGATTCATATCAAACTGATAATCAATGATTATTTACAGCTGATACCCGTTTAAAGTCGAAGCTAAGCTCTTCCCAGCAGTATAGCATGATAATGAGTCTTCAGCGTAGCTTCCTCATAAGCTCATTAAGTATGTATAATGCAACGGGCTAATGATGTAGGGTTATAAGTTTTCCAATCCCTTCGTTTGAGCAAGGCCTGACATTTCGTGTGACATGAGATCATGAATGTAATATCAACTCGGTAAGGGCTCAGTTAACGTAATCCTTCCATGTCATACTGTTAGTATATCCCTGTCGTACCGGATACATGTAATTAAATCATAAATATAGAATTACATCAAATGCTCTGATTACAAGACAATGTTACGCCTAAGTTTAGCATCATGGAGGTATTAAATTGATATGAGGCATTAACAAGAATTACGATTCGATATATCTCCTTGATACCCAAACTTGAAGATAAACAAGTTTGGTGATCTTTATAAATCCTGACCCATCCAGAATTCCTTTTCACTGCGCCTAACTTGAGAGGCATCGCAAAACGAAATTTTCTGGACTAGTTGGTTTATTACTAATAGCTCCCCCGCAACTGGATCAATTTCTAGAACCTACAAAACTATTTTTTCATTATGTCAACGTTTCATGAAAATTCGAGCAGAATTTTGCGAGGAACAGAGATTGATGTTTGGTTTTTTATGAATTGAACCATTAATGTAGAATTTGCGATACACCCAATCATGTTTTTTCATGCAACACTCACCAGGTGGTTTAACAATGGCTTCAGAGCTCTGTGGGGAAAACACCATCACGGTGTTGCCTATGGTGGTAGTGAAATCCAGGAACCCATAAACCGTTTGCGTGACTAGACCTCCAGTAGCAGTTTGTGCTGTTGCAGTAGATGTGGCAGCAGATGCTGGATTATTGGGGTTGACGAACACTGGACCTTGGGATGCCGATGTCAGACACAGAATGGCTGAAAAGAAAGAAAGGGCCTCAGGTACTAGGTCGTACACTTATGTTATGGAATCGGCTATTCCGTTTTTTCGAAAATTGAACAGCATTAGGAACTTTGGTTAATGTAGCTTATGGAATGTATCCTGTGAAACTTTGAAGAAGACTATCGCGGGAACCTAAACGTTGTTGTTCAACATCTGTTATCATTATTATAGTCGGTTGAAAATTTTAAGATAGCGGCACATCGCGCTTTCCGAACATTTTTTCTAATAGAATGTGATATGTGATACCTTATTTGAAGCTCGCGTATAAGCCTAGAATATAAAATAGCTATCTTTCGATATAGTGGACTGACAGGCTGTCGAATTCGAGCTTTTTTGTAAGTCGAACGGTTTACAATTCAACGACCAATCAATAAAATCATTTCATTTGAAAAACATATTGTCAAAACTTTTAAAAATTGAATATTTCATAATTTGCCGAAGATGATTCACGTAGCATATTACAAAGCCTTGATTATTATTGTTCAGTTATAAGCAACTCAATGTAGAAGAACGCATAATTAAGACAACAGTCCGCCAGTTCGGCAATCTGGAGCGGCATTTTGGAAAATAGCAAATTTACATTCTGGAGTTGTAAAGTACTGATAAGGAGCTTTATGTTAGAATATAGTGGTATAATGCTGTATCACTCCAAACTTCAGCTTGTCAACATGACTCATTGAAAAATAAGATGGTGAAGAGTTGGCCTTTTGGAAAGCACTGTCTGTTTTCTGACATTACAGCACATGTACAGCAGGAAAAATTACGTCATTGGTTTTCATTGGCCTTATTCTGTGGCTAAAGTCGGGTGTGCTGTATGTCCTCTAACTCATGGCTACACTATAATTTGAATTGTAACACTCGAACTTTGATGGTGTTTTGACGCAAGGTGACCTTCGGGCTAAAGACGAAATATATATGTAAACGTTGATTCTTAATTTACATTTCAATGCTACAAAAGCTTGGGTTATAGAGAAATAATGAATTCGACAACTAGACTTCAACACCCTCAACATTTCACTAAGACATTCTGGGCTCAATCTCATTATTTTCACGGGTACAGATTTTAGATGCACTCAATACGAACTACTCTATGTAGTTTGAATTCATCTTTTGTACATGTCTAAATACGTGTAAGGGTACGAGTATCTACTTTTCGCACCTATCCAGCAGTTACAGTTATTCACAACAAGGCGATGGAACGTGTTTGGTTAAAACTACCATCGAAAATATGCAGGGTGGCAATATTTCTACTGCATAAGGTATATTTAAAAATAACAGGAAAACCCCTGAAAAGATCCCCTTACCGAGGCACACGGTGTTGTAGTTATACCTTTCAAATTGAAAAAAAATATATATCTGACATCATAGTTAACACATAAAAAAACGTTTGTGCCTAAAACTCTACCGGTGGCGTGGACATTTGGAAAGCTTGACATTGATAAATGTATTTAGTGTATTCACATACTGCTATTTGTGCATTGTTCAAGTTTTGTAATTATGAGTCTCATCAGTATCGTAAAACAGCACCCTGTAACAGGACCTATGTTTATAGGAGCCTTCTTGTAATTTTCGGGTGTACTCCCTACTCTAGAAATGTTGTCAGGTTTTTTTGAATCACCTTGTACAATAAAAAAAACAACAATCGTTGAGCCTCAAACTTTTAAATGACATTATGTCCCTGTAGACATAAACTAAATATATAACGATTTATCACATGAAGTTTAAACACATACACGCGTGACCCTTGTCAGTAAAATCCCTACTAATGTTCGTGGTAGTAATAACGCATGAGGAGGAATTTTGTGTAGGAACCAAAGGGTATATCGGATCATTAATTAATCCCTAGACTTATTCAGTGACAGAACACCCTGCATTACGTGTTCTAGATGAAATCTTGGTCAGAAGACCATCCATCATCCAACATTTTGGTGTAATTATTGTTGGATGTGTCCCTGTAAACTTGTTTTGTACCCAGTGAATGAGATGAACGGTGCCATATCTATGTAAAACATTTCGTTCATGTTTCACGATATCATTCTTATTATCCAAATGATTAATCTTGAGCAAATTACCTACAAAAGCTAATTTCTTAAGGCAGTTCAGGCTACGAAATAGCTTTAATTAACTACTCTCCTCGCTACTTTCGGGATTTTCTGCTTAAATAGTTCAAAGTATGTCCTTAGATATGAAATGAATATGAATCCTTTCGAGACTGAGGCATATTAACAACCCACTATTTTTTCTCGGTGTGTCTGTTCTACATACATAATATACTAAAAGCCCATCAAATACCCATTTGTAATAAAAACTATATACTTATACGTTTAAGTGCTGATGCTGTGTTAAATGATGTGTTAAAAGAGATAAGCATAGCATCACTCGTAGTGTGGGTTTCTAGAGCATTAAGGGATATACACCGGATCTTTGGTATGAATTCAGTGAGATTAAATTCGCAAAACAATCGTTGTCGACTGCTCGGTATACAGGGTGTTTCAGTTTATTGTTGCATAACTTTCAGATTCGATAGAACTTTTAAAATTAATGCATAATGTCTATATAAACATGGGTCGAGAAATGCGTAGCTTCCGAAATAGAGGGTGTTTAAATTTACTTTTTAAAATAGTTTTTTTTTAATATTTCGAACAATATTTGATGTATAACAGTGAAAAATGGTATACAAGAGTTTTTGGTACGACAAAACTAACTATGGGCATAGTTTTACTGTAGCCGCTAGAGGACGCTCTCTACTGTACCTGTAGTGTATTAAAATGACCGAAAATTATTTCTTAGTGCAATTTTTTGCTTTTTGAATAAAAAAACTGATTCCTCGCACTTTTCAACATAAAAAAGCTCTCTTGTAAATTTTCGTTATAGTTAGCCGTTTTTGAGATACTTCGATTTTTAAGGTTCGATCCATTTTTGATTATTTATGATAAAATAACGTTAAAAAGTCAGTATCTCGATAATTTTTAGAGGTAGGCTGTGCCTGCAAATATTTTTGAAATTGAAAGCAGAACAAGGTTAAACGTCAATTAGTTGACAGTTAGTTTTGTTGTCTGTTGAAACCTGAAACGTTTTTTTGCAATTGTGAATGCACGAAATTTAGTTTCTTTTACCTGTTTTTTTGTAAGTTTTATAATAATGCCATTTTTATTCTCCAATCAAGAGTTAGCAGATATTCATTTTGTGTATGGCTTTGTAAATGGAAACGCAGCAGAAGCAGCCAGAGAATACGCACGAAGATTTCCAAACAGACGACATCCACCTCGCTCACTATTTGTAAGAGTGCATCGCCAAATAATTGAAAATGGTTTTGGAAATCTCCAAAGGGATCAAAACATAAATGTTCGTCAGCGCAGATTTACCCGTATGATTCTGGGTGAGTTTGATAGAGATCCGACCACAAGTGTTAGGAGAGTTTCTAGTGCCTTGGGAATTTCAGCAAGCCATGTTCACCGTGTTCTTAGAAATGACCATAGACGTCCTTACCATTTGCAACTTGTGCAAGGACTACAGCCATGGGACGGATAACGAAGAAACACATTTTGTCAGTGGATTCTTAATAGACCTGATAATAATAGGGAGTTTTTAAGTAACGTTTTATGGACCGATGAGTCATGCTTCACTAGACGTGGAGTGGTAAATTTTCGTAATCGATATATTTGGTCGCATGAAAATCCGCATGCAGTTCGGGAAAGAAATTTTCAGCATGAACTTAGTGTGAACGTGTGGATTGGTATCTACCGTAATCGACTATTTGGACCCTACCTTTTGCCTGCAAGGTTAAATGCTGCGACCTTCTTGGAATTTTTAAATGCTGAACATGCAAATATGTGGAATGATGTTATGTTATATTTAAGAAGATTGGTCTGGTTCCAGCTTGATGGTTTTCCAGCTCATTATTCGAGAATAGTTAGAAACTGGCTGGACGAAAATTATCCAGAAAGATGGATCGGCCGTGGAGGACCAGTCGCCTGGCCTCCACGATCCCCTGACCTAAATCCATTAGATTTCTTTGTGTGGGGATTTCTAAAAGAAAAAGTGTACCAGACTCCCGTAACCACAAGAAATATGCTAATAGACAGAATCAGGAATGCATGTGATGAAATAAGGCCTTATTGGAATAATGCTATACCACGTGCGATCATTCGTAGATGTGAATTGTGTATTGAACAATTGAGTTTACATTTCTAGCAACTACTTTAGATTTTGTATATTTGTCCTAACTATCCAATAGCATTTTAGTTGTAAATAATTAATTTAATTTGTTAAAATTAAACAAATTAATATTCTGTTTTTTTGTGTTTATTTGGAGTTAGGAATTATTGCTGTGTTTAAAAAGACAATCTAAACGATCACCTCAATTACTTGTAATGCCCAAATCGAAAATGTAAAGAGAGCTTTTTTATGCAGAAAAGTACGAAGAATCAGTTTTTTTATTCAAAAAGCAAAAAATTGCACTAAGACAAAATTTTCGGCCATTTTAATACACTACAGGTACAGTAAAGAGCGCCCTCTAGCGGCTACAGTAAAACTATGCACATGGTTCGTTTTGTCGTACCAAAAAACCCTTGTATACCAATTTTCACTGTTATGCATCAAATATTGTTCGAAATATTTGAAAAAAACTATTTTAAAAAGTAAATTTAAACACCCTGTATTTCGGAAGCCAGGCATATTTCGACCCATGTTTATATAGACTTTATGCATTAATTTTAAAAGTTCTATCGAATCTTAAAGTTATGCAACAATAAACTGAAACACCCTGTATACAGGGTGACTTCGAAGTTGAGTCATTTATTTTAACAGTGAGTAGATCTGATCAAAAGAAATGTTTTTTTCCTTTACCATTTTTCTGGTAAAATTAAAGTAACAAAGTTATAGCCCTTTGGAAGTTTGAGTACCGCCCTGTCTCAATAATAATATTATGTGCTCGTGTTTGGCGACAACGGATATAATCCGCCTTATCGGTTCATCGCATCGGAAACAAAAAAGCGAAAGAATTTGGAACGATGTTTTTACAATTATTTCATC